TCATATCCACTACAAATACTTTTCAAAGATGAGGGAAATGATGTACCTAGTTTCCAAGTTTGGCAGAGCAGCACTTTCATTGTCCTAAAAAGCACTGCTGAGGACTGCTTACCAGCATGTGTTTATGAAATTATCACGGGTGACCCAGCAAACTAGGGCACAGTCTTGGTCTTTAGTGAAGAATGGAAGTGATGGTGGGGAAGACCAGCGTGTTGCTGGAATGTGAGAGACTTCCAAGGCTCAGGCTTCTGGTAAGGGATAGCAAGCAGCCTGCTAGTGCTGGGACTGAGCATATATTGCAAGAGTGCTTGATTCACAGCATGTAAGAGAGGCATGATTGGACAATGTGTTTCAATAAAATGAAAGGTATAGACAAACACTCTAAGGTATGGCCAGAAATGCTTGTAAGGGTCATCTTTGCCTTATTGCAAGTTCGTACTGTCTTGCATTAAGTTGTTTCTATAATCCATTAAAGAAAGAGATGAAAGTTTGAAGGTCAGACACAGTGCTAAATTCTTAGGCTTGTTTGTTTTTTATCTGTTTCTTGACAGTGTTGCACTGTGTAGCCCAGGCTGCTGTTGAAATCCTAATCTCCCTGCCCCAGACTCCAGATGTCTGAGGTTACTGTTGTATTTTCTGACACCCACCGTACCTAGTTCTTATAATGGGGTGTGTTGGGGTCTAAGGATGGAGTCCAGTGCCTTATTCAATTGTCCCAAGCCCTATACCACTCAGCTACACTCCAGGCTTTTTTGTGTGTTTTCCTATTTTGAGATTGAATCTTGCTGTTTTGCCTAGGCTAGCCTAGAATCTGCATTTCTCTTGCCTTAGCCTCTTGAGTACTTGACTTCTGGGCTTGGACCACAGTGTCTGGTTTTATCGTTTTGTTTTCATATATTTAAATTCCAATGATCTTATTTATTTGTGTGTGCATGTGTTTGTGGGATGTGTGCTCACGGTGTGTGCATGGAGGTTAGTGAACAACTCAGAGGACTCAGTCACGCTTTTCACCATGTGGGTACTGGGGAATCAGACTAAGGTTATCAGATTTTCCAGTAGGTACATTTACCTGCAAAGCCATCTTGTAATTTCTATGAAAATAACTTTAAACCTTTGAACTCTCTAAAATAAAAATTTTCTTCATCTTTTTTGTTTTGTTTGTGATGAACTTTGATGCTTCAAAATATTTCCCACATGGCCTAGAGAGATGGCTCACTGGCTCTCTTCCAGAAGACCCAGGTTCAATTCCAAGTACCTGCATGGTGACTCAGAAAATCTGTAACTCCAGTTTCAGTGGATAGAAGACACTCTTCTGACCTCATCAGGCAACAGGCACACACGTGGTGCACTACATCCAGAATGAGCTAAATATCCTTTAAACAGTAATCTAAGGAGTTTCTTGGAATCTGCTTAACATTGCACTGTTTGGTTAAGAAACAATTGATTTCAAAGAATTTTTTATACTTCTTTTCTTCTTTTTTCCCTTTTATTTTTCTTGAGATTTCCTTCAGTAGCTCTGACTGAACTCAAACCCAAGAACTTCTATTTCTGAAGGTGGGGATTTCAAGCACAGGCCAGCAAGTCCAGCCTGTCTTTGATGAACCTTTATTTCCATTTCACTATACTCTCAGATGACTGTTTCATTTTATTTCGGTTTATTTTAAATTGATTGATTCTTCTTTTGTATGTTTCTGTTGTGTGCTCCTGGTTAAGTTTAAAACATCAGGCACAAGCTCCTTCCTTAAGTTCAATGGACAGGTGTTGGTTACCTCTGGGCATGAGTGCCAGTACTGCACCCTTGGGCATATCTCGCCTGCGTGATCATTGCTGTGCTTCCTTTTCTCTACAGCAGGGACTGTGTTGCATGGGCTCTACGGTAGGACTGCTTAAAGCTTTTCTCCCCCAGAAGCCTGCATAGCACCTTCCAACACTGTGAGATCTAGGCATCAGGGAGAAACACTTCAGGTCAGTACCAACTTTGAGTTGATTTCCTCAACTTCGTGATTGAAGTGTATGTATCTTTAACAATAGGTTATTCTGATTGTTTGTTTTGGGAGGGCAGGGTTTGGTTTGATTTAGGTTTTTCAGTCAGAGTCTTGCTGTGTGTCTCTAGTTGGTCTGGAACCCTCTATACAGAGCTGGCTGGTCTCAAACACTTAGGGATTCACCTGCCTCTGCATTCAAGTACAGGGATCAAAGTTGTGCACCAACATACCCCACAGGAAAAGGGGTTTTATATATTTTTTTATGTCTGTAGATGTGGTGGTTTTGATTGAGCCCCCATGGCTCATAGATTTGAATACTTGGTCACCAGAGAGTGGCACAATTTTAAAGGATTAGGAAGAATGGCCTTGTGGGAGAAAGTGTGTCACTGGGGGTTGGGATTTTAGGTTTCAGAATCTCATTCTAAGCCCATTGGCTCTCTCTTCCTGCTGCTTACAGGCTTCCTTCCATGGCCTCCTCAGCCTGCTTTCTTCCACAACTCAGAAACTCCAGCCCAGACAGATCATCCTCCACCATTGCCTGGGCTGTCCCCCATTGATCACTCATTAAGAAAATTCCCTACAGGTGGATCTTATGGATTATTCTCAATTGACTTTCCCTAATATCAGATGACTCTAGCTTGTGTCAAATTGACCTAAAACTAGGCAGGCCAATGGACCCCTTGTCAACTTGAATCACAAACATATCACTGTCATGCCATAATGATTTCTTTCTTGTTTATCTTGTTCATAACTGCTCCTTGGCATGGCTGAGGAGAGGTCTTAATGTCAATATGAGGTTGAAAAGAGCCAGAGACATCTGGAAGGGTCCAGATTGAACCAGGCCATGAAAGGAGAGAGGGTGGAGAGCAGGAAAAAAGAGAAGAGCAAGAGAGGTGACTAGAAGCCAAGAGCACCAGAGAGCATGTAGGAGCCACAAAAATGAGTAGCCAGATGGCTGTTTTACATAGGAATCACTCTGCATAAAACTCAAGTACAAATGGATCTCAAACCTCGACAGAAACCCAGTGACACTGAACTTGAAGGAACAGAAAGTGGTGAATAGCCTTGAATGCATTAGCACAGGAGAAAAACTAAGTCTTTCTGAGTAGAAGTGGAGTGTCTGAGGCTCCCACAGGCAGAGCGAGAGGCTCTGAATCCCCTCTATGAAAGAAAGTCGTTTTCAGACCTCTTGACCAGAGGATGAGAATTTGAAGGCTCAGAAACCAAAGGACTACTTCTGCTGTCCCTTTCAGATAAGGTGTTAGAGGTAAGACATATTTAAATAGAAGTCTGAACCCTCCTTCTTCTCAAAGGGAATGATTGAATCCTTGGTCAGAGAGAGCAAATTTTGAGGGCCTTTTTGATTGGAAGTGGAAAGCCTTGGGGCCTTGGGCAAGTAGAGATGATCTCTGGTTCCCTCAGTCATGCAGGTTAGATATCAGGCCCTGTTGGTTATAGAGTGTGCATTTGATGTCTAATGTGCAGAAATTGATGGTGTTTATGAGTGGAAGACTAGAGCAGATGTAGGGAGAGTAGCAAAGTCACAAAGCATGTAGGGAGAAGGGAGTGTCCCAGCCTACCTTGTGCAGTGGAGGAAGGACTCCATCACAGTTTAGAAGATTCACATCTTCAGGCACACTGTGGTGGTCCTGGCAGCAATCTGTGCAATCTTCATCAGTCACGATTGCCAACCTCAGTCTCCAAGTCCTCTTATCATCAGCTACATTGGTGTGTACATGAAGGAGGCAACCTCTTCACTTCAGTGACTAGAATGTAGGACAGGTGACCTAAGTTTCAGACTCTGTCAACTCAGAGCAGAGGGAATTGAAGTCCCCTGGGTCACACATGCATTTTCTAGTGGCCGTGGTTAGAGGGAAAAGATCTAAGGCCCTCCATTAGAGGGAAAACTTGGAGGCCCACGTGCACCCGGGGGATGCTCTGAGGACCCTTTGATCCTTGTCCCCTTGGGCAAAATGGAAATTCTGAGATTGCTATAGTAAAAGACAATCATTCTTATGACTCTCCTTGGACAGAAAGGGAAGTTCTTGGGTATTACTTGTAATAGCAGAGAGACCTTCTTACAGGTTGGTCGGAAATCCCTGGCTCTGTGTCCTCCACAAGCCTTTCATTCGCAGCGCAGGCATGGGCAACAAAGATGGGACCGCTCCATTTCTGGTGAGAATCTTAAAAGTAGAAGGTGTTTAATCGGGGGTCAGATTTTTTTTCTTTTTTTTCTTTTTTAAAGATTTTATTTATTTATTTTGTATACAGTGTTCTGCCTGCAGACATCCCTGCAGGCCAGAAGAGGGTACCAGATCTCATTGCAGATGGTTGTGAGCCACCCTGTGGTTGCTGGGAATTGAACTCAGGACCTTTGGAGGAGCAGCCAGTGCCCTTAACCTCTGAGCCATCTCTCCAGACCCCGGGGGTCAGATTTTTACAGTGGTTTTACAAGTGGTTTCTCTGAGGAAGCCTTCATCAGGGAGTGTTGATTTGAAGTGTACTTCAAAAAAAGATGAACATCTGTGTGAATTTTCATGTCACTGGCCTGTTCTGTATCTGCTTAATCAGTCAATTTTGTATCAGTCTCCTTGAAGTGAAATGGTGTGTCTAAAGACCTCTTGTTCAGAGAAAGTAGAATGTAGCCAACTTCCTTGACAAGATCTTATGTCAGAGGTTCTTCATGACATCAGTATTGGGCTTACAGTTTACCTTGTACTAAAGGGCAAATCTGGGACCCATTTAATAAGGAGAATGTCAGAGAACCGCTCCATAATGTCAGGCAGTGTGTGGCCCACTCACACAAAATGAATGTCCAGGTCCCCTTTGGACACACTAGAAAGACATAGGGCTCCCTTTGTTTCAGGAGGAAGATCAGATGTCTCCTTAACCAAAGGGAGAAAGATTGAGTACCCTTGAAGAGAGAGGCGTTTCTGAGGCCCATGCGACAGGGGTGATGTGGTCAGAGTGTGAAAATCCCATACAACTGAGCAAAAATTAATTTGACTACCATACCTCATAAGGTCCTAGCATTGCCTCAACTTCTAACTGTTCTTCACAGTTTCGGATGTCCATATCTTTAGCTGAATCTACAAGAGGCCAACTTCAGTACCAGGATTAATTAGCAGCTTGGGTTGGAGCCTCAGTGTGGTTGACTCCTAAGAATTGTGTTCATCCAACCAGAACTAGGTGGGAATGATGATTCCACACCATGACAGGTGATCTCACTCAAAGAAGTGAGTGAGAAATTCCAGATTTCTTTGCTCTTCTTCTGTCAACTCTAACCAGAGGGACCAATGCCCCTTGGTCAGAGGTGAAATATCGCACATGCCCTTGCTCAGAGAAGAAAGTCCTGATGGCCCTTTGTGTAAAAGGGCAAATTTTAAGGCCCAAATTATCAGATCAAAAAATAATAAGGTTTGGAAATGGAGACCAACCCCAGACCTTGTTGAGCAGAGGGGAACATCCCTGCTTACCTTCTCTAGAGGAGGACGGTCCAGGCACTCTCTAGTCACTCTGCAAATCTTCAGGGAACTCTAGGAAATTCTTGTCTCTGAGGACTCCTCTTGAGGCTTGACAGTAATCAGAGCATTCTTCTGACAAGTGGGTCACAGTCCCTGGGTCTGTTCCCTACTAAAACTCATGATAAGCTGCCCAGGTGTGAACATGGAGGACAGTCACCTTTCTGTTGAGCAGCTTGAAAATAAATGGCCTTGGATTCCAGGTGAGGTGTTTATTCTTCTGCCATGCGACATCAATCTAGAGTTCCATGAGGTTCCTTTGGTGATCAAATGTATTTCCCAGCCACTCAGTTCTGAGTGAGAAGTTCTAGTCTCTCTTAATGGTTTGGTAGACCTGAGCTGGCCATGAACAAAAGCAGAAGCTCCTATGTTTTCTTGGTAATAGGGTCTCAGTCTCAAGTACCTGTCAGCAGTGTGAATGTTTGAGACACTCCCTTCAGTCACAGGGCCAGCTCTACAGCTTGCTTCATCAAAGGGGTACATCTCAGACCATTCCAGTACAGACAGACAATGACTAAAATTTTCTTGTTCAAAGGTATGTTACGGCAGCCTGCCTTTGGCATCCCTTGAAAGTCAGGGGCTTCTATGGTTGGAGGAAATAAGTCTAAGGCCCTCTTCAGAAGATGTTCCAGTGAGTGTTAAGTCCCCTGCATTAGTGAGTTAGTTTCCTTCTGAGGAGGCATATCTAACTCCTGATGGAGTTATTAGCTGGAGGCATGACTTGTCCTCATTCTGGAAGGATAAGTCTGAAGCCCCATTGTGACTTTGCAGAATTTCTGTGGCCCATCGATTTTAACAGGGTTGTATTTGTGGCTTTCCTGGGACACTTGAGAGGTCTGAAGCCACTTGTTTCTCAAGTTATATACATCAGGCCCCCTTCAGTCAATAAGAATGTGTGTGACCCCCTTATTCTGAAGAGGTAAATATGATGTCCACTTGTCCATTAGTAAATGTCTGAAAGCCTCTGGTTCTCAAAGGAAAGGTGTGTCAATGTCCCCTGAACACTGTGGAATCCTGAAGCTTTTGATGTCGAGGGGGTAGATCTGAAACTCCCCTTGAGTTACTGATGAAAGTTGTGAGTTACCTTAGTTCTAGACAGTTAAAACTGAGGCCACCTTGGCCATTGGGGAAGACCTGAGAGCCTCTGGTTTTGAAGCTTATTACCGAAGCCCCCTGAGTCCATACTGCATTTGAAGACCTGTGGTTATCAGGTGGTAGGTCTGAAGCCTGCTTGAGAATTAGTGGAGTGCATTTGTCTTCCTGGTTCAGAAGAGATGTCCCTGAGCACACCATGAGCCCCTGAGAACAATCTGAGCTCCACTTCAGGCACTGGGGAAAGTATGAGTCTTCCTAGATCTGAAGGAATAAGTCTGAGGCCCCTTTGTTAGAAACACAATTTGGAGAACCCTTGGACAGAGTCAGAATGTTTGAGGCACCCACAGGCAAACAGGGTATTTGAGGACACCATTCTTTGGTGGCATAAAGTCTCATTCTATGTTGGGGAAAGCAGAAAGTTTGAAGAGTCTGATGGGGAACAGTGGCACATCAAGTGTCAATTTGGGGATTAGAGAAGCCCAGAACATTTCCTTATCCAATCTTCCTGGGAATCTAGGACATCCATGTCATGCAGGGCAGGCAGCAGTGTGATCAATTTCCAACATGCTAGCAGGCAGTTCCCAGCTAGGTCTCCTGACCAATTCAGCTACCTACTTCTGAACAGGAAGGGCATGGCTCCTTTATTTCTGCTGACTGAGTTAAATACATATTTCCTGAGTTTAGGGTGCTGCTGGATACTCTTAGGATCTAGGATTTCAGGCATCAGGTCCTTTTATTTTTGCACAGAGGTGATAAAGTCAGATGATTAGAAAAAGAAACACTAAGAGCCTCTTAGGCAGAGGGAGTTGATCCTTTCTCCCTCTGGGTCAGATGAAGTCATTCTAGGGCCACATTAGTCAGTGGGAGCACATGCTCTTCTCAATGGGTAATAGATTGTTTAGCATGTTGCAGGTAGAAACTGTAGTCTGTTCTTTTTTTTTTTTTTTTTTTTTTTTTTTTTTTGTTTTTTGTTTTTTGTTTTTTGTTTTTCGAGACAGGGTTTCTCTGTGTAGCTTTGCGCTTTTCCTGGAACTCACTTGGTAGCCCAGGCAGGCCTTGAACTCACAGAGATCCGCCTGGCTCTGCCTCCCCAGTGCTGGGATTAAAGGCGTGTGCCACCACCGCCCGGCCTGTAGTCTGTTCTTAATCAGAAGGGAAACATCTGCCTTGTTCATAGTCAGGGGAGCCTGTCTGATGCCTCAAATAAATTGGAGGTAGCATGGAATGGAGGTCAAAGTTTTGACAGATGTTTGATGACAAGGAAACATTCTAAACTCCCATTTTTCATGTGGGACACAAAGTGGAAAAATATGAGGCCAGCTTGTGGATAAGTAGATCTGAAGATGCCATGGTAAGAGAGAGTAGGGCCCAGGCTCCCCTTTTGAGATGAACATCAATAGAACTTGAATTTGACAGGCTTGTAAGGACTGAAGCCACCATGGGCAGGAGGAGTATGTCGGGGGTTTGTTAGGGCAGAAGTTGAAGTTCTGGCCTACTCTTGATTAGAGGGCACATCACCGAAATCCCTTTGGTCAGAAGGAGTACATCGGAAGGTCGCCTTGTGAGATTGGGTATGCTTGAGTTTCTCTCTTTCAGAAGGAACCATTCTAAGGCTGCCTTGAACAGGGTGGCCATGGGAAAGTCATAGAGAAGTTGGGGTACCTCTTTGAGGGGAGAGTTTAGAACTCCAGCTTCCTTTTTGCAGTGGGGTCCTTTGGAGACTGAGTGAGATTGAATGTGACCATCTGTGGCCTCCTAGGACAGAAGGGTCACATCTGGGGGCCTCGTGTTCATATTAGAAGGCTGTGCCTGTCCCATGGTAAGAGAGGAAAGATGTCAGGTCCCCTAGTTGAGATGGCATGCTTCTGAATTTCCCTTGGACAACAGGGAATGATGTAGCATTTGCTGTTGTAACTGGTGAATTTATGAGATCCCATTGGACATGACACAGAGACCTGAGCCCCTCTCTGGCACTAGTGGAAGGTTTCTGTCCCTCTTGGACAGAAAGAGTATGTCTAAAGCCCTCCTTGGTAGAAACAGGGTGTGTGGCATCACTGCTTTGGGGTGATGAGGAAGGTGTGACACTCCCATTGGGACTGTCTCCATCCAGAGATGAGTTGAAGCTTTCTTGGGCTGCAGGGGAAGTTTTGATGGCTTCTTTAGTATAAGGGACATCTCTGAGTCTTGTCCTGGTAGTAGTAGAAGCAGTATGGCTGGAAGTTCCGTGGGGAGAGCTGGAATGTCTGAGATTCTCTTCATGAGAGGAAGTAGTTCCCAAGCCCCCTTCTGTACAGATGAAAGTTTCTATGTTCTCTTGGGGAGTAGGCTTTGGTTTCTGGTCCCTTTTGGCCGAAGAAGAATTTCTGAGCTGACTTTTTGATGAAGAGAATTGTTTAAATCCTTCGTGCTCTGAATGGGAAGCATGAACGTCTGTTTCGTCAGTGGGAGCCTTTTGCAATTTGGTTTTGGTAGATTTGGAATGTCTAGAGATGCCTTGGGGAGCTGGAGAACTTCTGCATCTCTCCTCCTGGGATGGTGAGGATCTGCAGTCTCCCTTATCAGAAGGAGAAGTGGTGAGGCTCTCTTTGGGCTCAGTCTTAAGCCTTACACCCTTTCTGTTAGAAATAGAAGCTTTGCCTCCCTTTTTGGAAGAATGGTGAACTTTGAAACCCTCATCTTCTGATGGGACCGATTTGAGGCCTGCTTCTTTAGAGCATGTCTTGATTTTGTTGTCTTCGATTTATAATGTATGGCGCCACCTCGTAGAGAGGAACAATACCTGAGATCTTCTTTAGGAATGGAACTAGATCTGAAGCTCAATTCTGATGATGTTGGGGGTAGAACACTCCTCTGAGGAGTAGAGATAGGACTTGAGTCCTTTGGGGCATACACTGTAGATGTGAGCCCACCTTTGGCAGAAAGAACAGATCTTAACCTATCAAGTCCTAAAAGGGAATATCTGATATCCCCTTCAGGAAATGGGACATGTCTTGATACATTTTTGGTAGAATTGGAAAGTCTGGGGCTTATTTTTGGATAAGGGCAATGCCTTGGGCAGTCTTGATGAGAAGGCATAAGAATGAAGTCACGAGGTGCACAAATGGACAGGCCCAGAAACTCTGTTGAAAAACAAGGTCCCACCGATTCTCGGGTAGATGGCATAGGTTCTAGAGGCCCTTGGGCTGGTTTGGGGTTTTCCAGAGTATTTTGGAGAGATGTTGATGGTCCCAGATTTCCTTGATCTGATACTGAAGGGCCCAGAGAACCGTGATTAGATTTCAAAAGTCCTAGAGCCCCTAGTACAGATGGAAAAGTTTCTAGAGTCCCTGATGTTGATTCTGAAGTTTTACAAACATTTTTGGTAGATGTCAAAGTTTCAATTGTCTCTGGAGAAAGTGGGGAAGGTTTCAGAGTCTGCACAGAAGGAAGTCGAAATCTGAGAGAATCTTGGGAAGGTGG